TATACATATATATAAAATAATTTATATATATATATATATATACATATATATATATATTTGATCTGCACAGTTTTTGCTGTAGGGAGAAGGGACGGAGATCTCGTCGTCGCAGGTTATTTGGTAATAGGTGTTATTTTTTTGCTAGTCTCTCTGCGACCGCTGCGTCTCTGTTCCTAATTGCCATTTTAAGGTTGTAGTCTCTTATCTTGCAGGTTGATGCCGCCATGGCTTTTTGGATAAGGCGGCCTGCTGCGTCGTCACAGTCGTCTGTGTAGTAAACACAGCTTACCGTGTGCCGGGATACCGCCACTACGGCATGCTGAACGCTGTCGTGCAGCTGTAGCTTGCTCACTTTTGTACGCATGCCAACGACTGACCCGTATGTTAGTCCTTGTGCTTCATGGATGGTGAGAACCCGCGAACCGTTGCCCGATTCATATCCCTGGTTGATAAGGGCCTTTTTTTCCGCCTGGGTATAGACTAGGAAAAGCGTTTATGGACGAGTTTTTCTGTATTTGCGAGTTGGAGTACCTTTCGATACTCAGCGAATGCACAAGGGATCTGGAAGAGTATATGCCACTGTATATTTCGTTGAGAGCATATGCTACATCCATCGGGTTCCTATGCGTACACAGCAGTTCCTGACTGACGCATGCCACTAGGTTTGGGCGAGTGTACTGCATCGAAAAGAGGTTTTCCCTCTCAATGTAGGGGAGTTGGTTGATGTCACCAATTAGCAGGATTTCTTTAGCTTCGCTCAGTCGCATTGCCATCACAATGGCTCCAGTGAGCCGAGTACAGGTCTTCTTCTCTGGCTCTTTGAACCCATTTACCAATACCGAAGCCATTGTGCGCACTTTGGTATTTGCACTGGCGCCGACGCGACTAGCAAGCTTCTCGCGAAGATCTTTCGCCGCCTCTATTGTTGTGGTGATCACACAATTGTGTGTTTGAATGTGATCCTTACTAATATTATAAACGCGAAAGTTTGTATGTATGGATGGATATTTTTTACTACAAATACTACTGAATGGATTTTAATGAAACTTTACAATAATATAGTTTAAACATCAGAATAACACATAGGCTATAATTTATGTACGTATTTTATGTATAACTGTAGTTCTGTCTGAATGTTACGCCTTCAACCTATTCTACAGACGTAGTCGCGGGCAGCAGGTAGTATTAAATACATATAAAAATAATAAATATCTGTATTTGCATGAATGATAATATACATACGTTCGTAACAGATAAAGTTGTAATACATACTCGTACATCAAACGTCATCCATGCAAGAGCAGCGCCATTTCCATAAAGTACGGTCTTCAATGTACCATCCAACATAATAAGCTCTTTCAGTTAGAGTTGTTTGAATGAGATTCTGAACATTGCCGAGGCTTTGTATACGTCGACCGCCAGGTCATGGGCGACGCAGCGTTTGCGAGATGTTCCCAGTTTTTGAAGTTATATTTCTTTCGGCGCGTTTATAAATTACTAGCTTTTCACCCTTAAATTACCGTGAAAAAGTAACACATACAGTTTTTTTCCAATTGAAAAATAGTCTAGAGCCTGATAAAGGACATATTTCCAATCGTTATGACATTATGACATTTTTCCAATTAAAAATGACATTTTTCCAATTAAAAAATAGCCTATGTCCTTTCTCAGGCTCTAGCCTATCTGTGTACCAAATTTCATTTAACTCGGTTCAGTAGTTATGGCGTGAAAGCGAGACAGACAGACAGAGCTACTTTCATGACAGCATTTATAATATTAGTGTGGAAGTATGGATAGGAGTAAAATTTTTACGGTGCGATCGCGCACACCGACAGCGAGATGATGAAATTTGGTTGCAAGGCGACCAACTTCATTGCATCACGATGGCAACGAACAACGAATTTTTTACCTAAATTTCCAAATTATAAACGTTATCAATTGCATTTCAATGTCTTTATACAAACAAACAGTGGGTACCGGCACAGGTAAAGAAATTTTTTGTTATTTTTCTTTTGTTACGCTACAGAAGTATATATATGTTTACGTGCGTACATAAGTAGTACACACACACACACACATGTTTAGGGTTCTGTACCCAAAGGGTTAAACTGGACCCTGTTACTAAGTCTCTCTGTCTGTCTGTCCGTCTGGCACCTGGCTGTATCTCATGAACTTTGCTAGTAAGACAGTTGAAATTTTCACAGATGACGTCTCCGCTATAACAGAAATACTTTGCTAGGTACACTCGTAGAAGTGAAACTTTTTTATGACGTTATTTTTCAAAAAAAAAAAATATTTACTATATGCAACTTTACAGAAATTGGTTAAATAAAGTTAAATTAGATAAAGTTTAATAAAAGGCTTTTATTATCATAGACATAAATACAAATTGTACAATTATTTCATTTTAGCTTTGAATAATATTTACTTTCTTATTTGTAATACATAGGTGGCGTTAGTAGTAAATTAAAACACACTATGGTTTGACCGTTGTAATTAGTATGAGGGTCCGCAAAAATTGTTGATTAAAAAACTTGCAACGTGAACCTTGTTTATTTCAATTAACCTCATGGACCCAAAATACAACCGCTTTGAATATGTACATGGTCCTTCGTTGCCGAATAGTCAGCCAGTGAGTAGAAGGCAGACATTCGACTCGCGCGCGAGTGTTGTGAGTGAAGTTTTTTTTTGAAAACCGAACTTGCGAACGTTGGATCGACGTCGCAACCGCAAGTTCCAGGAGCCGATCGAGGCATCATCGGTCAGCTTCAGATTGTGTCTTCGGTGGAAGGCGGAGTCAGGTCACGGTGGGCGAAACAGCCCCGCGCTTTTTCACAGTTTAAATATTTCCCGCGGTGAGCAATGGAAGTAATTTTTTCGCCCGTATCGAAGTGACTTCGACGTGTAAAATTGTGAATAAATGAAACTTTTTTTAATGTAAGAAAGAGGCAAACGAGCTGGCGGTTCACCTGATGTTAAGCGATAAACGCTACCCATGAACATTTGCAACTCCCGTATGTTTGCAAACGTATTTCCACCTTTAAATAAAGTGGCCTTACTCACCAGATGAAACGCTAAAGTTGTAACACTTCTATTTTACGCCGGTCTTCTGTGAGGTCGTGATACTTAACCGGATGGACCTGCCCATTCGTGCAGCAGTGAACATGGTTGCATGGTCCTACCACAGTCAAAACTATTTTGATAAAATAAATAGATAAGTTAAATAGCTAATGAAACATTTTGCTAGGGCAAAGTTTTTTGTTTAAGTAGTTACCGATAAGTTTACCAGTTTAATGTAAGATAGTTCACCACTGTTTCCTTCTTTTTCTGGTATTGGGGAAAAAATTGTTATATGACCCCATCTCCTGGTGGAAGAAATGGTTATGTCAAATTTTTAATAATATAACCCGCCCATTCGACACATTCAACACATTGGCTAGTCCAATCCATTGTTTTATCCCATCTAATTCCATAAAAAAAAAAATGTTATAAATTGCCATAAAAATAATTAACTAACAGTATACCCCTCAAATCAACTACGACAACTATGAATATATGCAATGAATACTAATACACAGCATCGTTGAAAAATAGTGATAAGTTTTAAATATATGTACCTATATCTTAATCGTCGCAACACTGGGTAAAGTCATCTAAGATACATTTTACTGACCCCACTGAGAAAACGTAAGGTGCCGCTGCAAACTTATTGCTTTTGATCTGATCTTTCGAATGTAATCGACGCTTTGCTTGGAGCGATATTCTCTAAAAGTATTCGTGTCCACAAATAGTTCTGACCCCACTGCACAAAGGACCCATCGGCTTGTGCTTGCCCTCATGCTTCCGTGAGCGCCTTATGAAGCTTTCAGTTCAATATCCGGTGATCCCGAACTCGCCGCACCGTGATGTTGTTTCGATTGAAAGTCCTCCCCAATGGAAATTGTTTCGATATTAATACCTTTGCATGATTTTTTATGGTAGTTTGTTTGGATAGTAGTATTTTGACAATCAGTACTAAAGATATTTGATGTTGAATTTGCGCTTCACGAATGCATTGCGATTGGTGGCAAATGGGGTTTCAAGAACGGCCACATAAAATATATTTAAGTGAGAAAGAACAGAACAGTTGGATTGTCTTTGAAATATTAGGAAAAAAAATTTTATGCTAAAAATTTGTTCTGTTTTTTGACAGTTTTGGCGAAAAATATGCTTGATGTAATTCCTATCTTAAAAATAATGCTCAACTTGTTTCAGTTAAGATTCATAATCTGCTGATATTTACGTCAGTCCAGGATATAAAAATTAGACTTCATTATGGTGTACCGTAATGTTGTCTCATGTTTTTGAAACAAGGAAGTTTAGGTAAAAATAATTAGGTGCACTAAATGACATCAACATTTTTCATAAATATACGTTAAGAAGCGTGTTCGTAATGTTAGTTGATGAATAAAAATTGTTGTTATTTGGCTATTAAAAGTAAATATTACGTTCGCTCACAATTATAAAGAGGCCCAAAAATACAATGGAGTCGCTTGACTAAGGTTTTACCCAAGCGCAATAAATAGTAGTCACGGACGTGGTACTTACCGCTACAATAATTCAAAAGATAGCTGACTCTACTTGGATTTAATTAAGGATGAATTGTGCGACGCTGGCATAAAAGATTTTGGAATTGCATTTCCTTAGATTCCACTATATGATGTAATAGTTGTACAACATAAAGCTATTAACAAGCCAAATTTACCATATATGAAACATTACGTGTGTTAGTGTTCTTTTATTTTTAATTTTTCTTAAATCTCAGGTTTTTCGTTTTTAAATTCAAAAATCTTACTTCTCTGGTTTATTTTACGAACATTGCATTATTTGGAAAAGACTCGTGGGCGCTATTAAAGTTCAAAACATTTAATGATAAAGGCTGTAATGAATGGAATGAAAAGCTACATTCACGCGTTACTTCTATTCAAAGTACATAAATGGAAACTGTATGTTGGTTGCAGACCAAAAAGCGGCTCGATGCTGCTGTACAGTCGCAAAAAAGTGCGCTACAGGCGCGACGGATACTGCTGGAAGAAACGGAAAGACGGAAAGACCACCCGAGAAGACCACATGAAACTGAAGGTGCAGGGCACAGAGGTAAGCGTTTGGAATATACTCAAATTAGATGACTCCGTGGCGTATTGGCCAAGGTGTTGGCTTCGGCGTCGGGGGTCGTGGGTTCGATTCCCACACGGGACAACTATTTGTGCGATCCACAGACAGTTGTTTCGCATCTGGGTGTTTGTCCGCATGAAATTTATGTTTGACAAACGTTTAAAAAAGAAAAAAAAATCATTTAGTAATAAATTTATTAAGCTGTCAAGTGGCTTTCAAATTTCATTTGAGTTGCCAAAAGGATGATTAAACTCTTTGAATTTACCAGAATGTTCTTCTTAATGATCAGAATGATCTATTCAAAGAGTTTAACCGTCCTTTTGGCAACTAAAATAATTTGAATAGCTTTGACAGCTGATTACTTAACATCTACTATGATGATGATCAGTGTTTCAGAAACCGGGCGTAAGACAGATATACATAAAATCTGTATATTAATTATAGCCTATGTCTTATTCTGATGTATAAGCTATATTATTGTAAAGTTTCATTAAAATCCATTCAGCAGTATTTGCGTGAAAGATTAACAAACATCCATCCATACATATTTCATCATACAAACTTTCATCCATACAAACTTTCGCCTTTATAATCTTAGTAAGGAAGTGCTTTGAAAGTAAAATAAAACAGTGATTATTAAATTTTTGATCCATTTATAGGTACTTATGATACCAACATAGACTGGCAACATACTGTAGCCGTAAATTTATAAAACAGATACATAAAAAAAACTATGTAATTCTTCTTCCTCCTGCCCACTTAGGCGGGTTTTACAACATGGAAACCACGCTTTTAATGGTTTTGGCTAGCTTTTTTTACTATCCCCCGGCTGACTGACATCAAGCCTCCTTTGGAACAAATATCCAATTACGGAATAATTATCCGTAGATCATACAAAGTACCTGGAGGTTCCAGCATTGGCCGGTTTTTTTTTGTTAATCATGTATTTCGGAAATAAAAAAATAAAAAATAAAGAAAGCAATGGTATAGAAAGCAATGGTATACAAATCTGGTATATAAAAAAAAGGTAAAAAATAAGTGTGTAAATGATCGTGACACGAACCGCGGCCTTCTGTTTCGGGGTAGCCCGATTACCGACCGAGCTAATAAAACATTTTTTTTCGGCGAAATTTACCGTCATAATCGAATGATTTTTTTCATTCCCTGAAAACAGTGATAAAAGGACATTTTCTAAAAATGAAACCTAAAGCTAGATGGATTTTTCGCCCCCGAATCTACGCACATACTAAATTCCACGAAAATCGCTGGAGCCGTTTAAAGGAATAAGAAATAAAATAATCGCAGTATCCTATTATAGAAATATTGTAAAACATATCATTTATCTTTGGTTCTGCAATCAAAGAAGTTTCATTTTCGTATTTTATTTTCAAGCGGCCAGTAATATATGGATTTCAGTATCATCCATCATAGCGTTTGTGTAGCAGAAATCCTTTTTCATTATTTGAATTCTTGAATTCTCACGGAATTGGGCGTGGTGCTTAAAGGTCAAACCAAGGTCAATTTATACAAATGCAAATAAATTACCTGAAGTACACAACGGGAACGGATAATCTTTAGCGCATATTTATTTCTTCATTTTAGGAACGTTTTTTTTGTTTGACATACAGGGTCTTTTGTTAGTTTTTGAAAAGTGAACAATAAAAATGTTGTACTTCAATTAATTAATTATCTAAGGTTATCAAATAAACTTAAATGTTTGAAAAGTGAACACTTCTACAAATGTGTGTTGCAAGTGATGAAATACGGAACCAAGACGTGGTCACTGTGTGAGGAATAGAACTCATAACCGTCCGGGAAAAAGTTCTCGACTGGCAGTCTCGTACTGGCCATCGTAGTGTAGGACGACCCCCCACTAGATGGAGTGCCGACATGGGCAAATGTGAGGGAAGTCGATGGATGCAGGTGGCTTAAGATCGTACTACGTGGCAGCCTGTGGGGGAGGCCTATGTTCCGCAGTGGACTTTTACAAGCTAAAATTATGATGATGATGAATCTTAGCTTTATTGTATACCAATTCAACTGTGGTAGGGCCACACAATGGTGTTCACTGTTGCACGAATGGGCAAGTCCGTCCGGGTCAGTACCACGACCTCACAGAAGACCGGCGTAAAGTAGAAGTGTAACACTTCTGCGTTTCGTCTGGTGAGTGAGGTAGCCGGGGTCAACATCATTTAAAGGTGGCAAAGCTTCTGCAACCCTACGGGTGTTGCAAATGTCTATGGGCGGCAGTTATCACTTAACATCAGGTGAACCGCCGGTGAGCGACCGTTGGACAGATGCTGGGGTAGCGCTCCAGGGGCCAAATTCCAACACGATGGAGTAAATGTATTGTAGAGGCAACAGAAGAAACTACAACGATCCATTGAACTGGCGCAGGATAGAAACAAATGGCGACAAATTAAATATGGTCACGATCGTCATTAGTGAGGGAACGACAAAGAAGAAGAGGAACCGCCAGCTCGTTTGCTACTTTGCCACATAAAAAAAGAATAAAGTCCGTTAACGCAGTTGTGACTCAAACTATCCATGTTGCAAGTTTCCATGGGCGGCGGTGATCGCTTAACATCAGGTGACCCGTTTGCTCGTTTGTCTCCTTTTTACATTAAAAAATAATAATTAAATACCATAATTTCTGAATCTTTACCATCTTATGATGTTTTATGAACTATAGCAGTACTGCTTCCAACTTTTCGCTGAAATATACGTTAATACGTGTTACTGATACCGAGTATTGGATTCACGCACGCAACCTGACCGCAAAGCATTGATTATCCCCAATAATTAGCTTTTCGACTGAATTTGCTAAAAATAATAAAACGGGATCGACTTGATCCGGCCCAGTTGTGGTCCACTTCGTTTATTGGATTACGAAATTTTACATAGTTAAGCCACATTTACAGCATCGTGTTAATGTGCCCTCGCGCGTCCCCTTGCCGCAAATCGAAATGTTGTGACAGTAGTTGGTTATAATTTTTAATTGATTTACAAATGAAATTTAACCAATCAGGTAGTTTGGTTGAGGTCGAGTTTATGGCAATTTTTCTTGGTGGTAGGGTCCAGGTTTCATTAATACTGTATGGAGTCAACCAGCACATTGCAGATACAATTATGTAGAGTAAAGAGTATCTTTCATATTTGAGGTTTAAATTCAAAACACACTTAGCAAAATTCTCTAAAACGTCCAAATTAAATGTTACTTTCCTTAAAGTATTAACTGGTGAACAAGCGACAATCGTATCTAAAATTAAAGTGAAATAGTAGTTAAGTTCTTAAAAAATGCGATACCAGAATAACTGGCATTATCTTTTTGAATTAGCTAAACGTCGGCGGGCCAAATGTACTTAATTTTTTACCAACCAATGTTCTTTATCAACCAGTTTTGCCATATAAAGAAGGACGGCTTTGTACGAAATATATTTTTTTTTTAAATTTTATGTAATAATAATTTATCTGTAAATAAAATAATTAAAAATATTAAATATACAAAATACATACAATGGAACTGTTATATTTGTATGTCTAATTTTAAATTTTAGTGTCTAATTATTATTTCTTTTAAGTTGTTATTATGAAATATTTTAGTCTTAGTAATTTAAAGTATTAAAATGTTAAGTATTCTAATTTTGCTAAAATTTATTAAAATATATTTTTCATACAGATAAACAAGAAGACTTTCGGTTTTATTGTATCATTGGTGTATTATTATAATCTGAGAGAAGTATTGGGTATTGACAATAGATATATTAAAGCTAACTCTCCTACACTTTACAAGTGATTATTATGAACCAGTGTTAATTTGGACCTTAATATTATTACTTATTTCTTATAACATGGGAGTTCATTTAGCTTTATTCGTTACGGTGCTCATATGTTCATCAAAGCTAATAACGGGATCGATCGAAGTTGAAAAGGCGGTGGACGCACTACTTCCCGAAGATGGCAGGTTTAATTTTATGCAGCTGGCTGATAAATATGGCCATCCGGCGATCGAACATGACGTCGTGACAGAGGACGGATACATACTCAAATTATTTCACATACCAGGAGATAAAGGAAGACCTGTTCTGTTAATGCATGGCATTGCGGACTCTGCGGACGTCTGGATTATCAGAGGAAACCTATCGTTAGCAGTCGCCTTAGCTGGTTCCGGATACGACCTTTGGTTTGGCAACATACGGGGTAACAGATACTCTCGGCGTCACGTCAGTCTCAACCCCGATCAAGATGATCAGTTCTGGAACTTTAGTTTCCACGAAAACGGCCATTACGACCTGCCTGCAATAATAGATACGGTGCTCGAGGAAACAGGTTCGGCCACGCTAAACGCTATTGGGTTTTCACAAGGCAACACTATATTCTACGTGCTGTGCTCAACCAGACCGGAATACAATTCGAAGATAAACGTAATGATGGCATTAGCACCCATATGCTACCTGCAGAATGTGCCACCGCCTCTTTCGATACTAATAAGCATTGCACCGTTGCTGTACAAGTTCTTCACTGACCTGGGTATCAACGAGATCGGTAACGATCATTCGCTATTAAACACATACGAGAAAATCATTTGCACGCGCCCTCAAATCGGTTACGATCTCTGCGTCGAAGGCCTAATGTTTCCAATCACTGGATACGACAGCGAAGAACTCGGGCCCGACTTCGTTCCCGTTCTCGTTGGCCACTTCCCCACAAGCACCGCCACGAAGGATTTATATCACTTAGCCCAAGTCGGATACCGGCGCGCATTTGCACAATTCGACTATGGTAATGCGGGGAACATCGTAAAATATAACTCTACACTGCCCCCCGAGTACGACTTGAGTTTGGTAACTACTAAAATAGTTTTTTACGTCGGCCTGAACGATCGTCTCTCCACGGTAGCCGATGTTGAGATTTTGAAGTCGCAGCTGCCAAATGTCGTCCGTTATATTGTGAGTCCGCGTTTGCAGTGCAACCATGTTGACGACGTTTTGGGTGCACATATGAATTATAACATATTCCCTTACATATACGACGTTTTAGAAACATATTAAAAGTTTTTTTTATTTCTATTTCAATTAATATTTTACTTCGCTCTATTACTACCAGTTAAGTGGTGTTAAGGGCGACTAAGCGTTATCTGAAAGCAGGTTTGATGAAACAACAGAAAATTTACCAACTATTTTTATGCAAAAAACTTACATTTAAGTTTAATCTTCAGGGAAGAGACTATCACTAAAAATAAAATAAAATATAATATAATTTTACTGTTATTTTTTATACTTGTTGGATTTTTATTATTGTCTGAGTAATGTTCAATTCATCTTTGTTTTATATTTATTTTTAAGAAAAGCTATATGGTTAACTCTAAGTATTAATTTTGATTAATTTATTCTTATTTTTATCACTCTTAGTGTAATGGCTTATACAGAATCTTTTTGAGAGCCTTTGATACTTATTCAGTTCATTTAATTAAGCTTATATTCAAAACCATTGTGAAATATTCATTTGATAGCTTAAACAAAATATAATATTGGTATACTGAAATTCATTCACACTTATATTTCGTGCCTTGCATATTATAAAAATTAATATTTAAAGTTTTCATAGACCAACTGGGCACCATGTTCAGCTGGTCTTTTGCGTGATGTTTAGAAGAAACTTATGTTTTAACTACTCAAAATATCTTTTATTTAATGCAAGAAAAGTAGTGGTAGAAGAAGTATCTTCCGATTTAAAAAAAAAAGTGTGTGCGTAACCTTTACGTGCGATTGAAGTAAAACTTCTTTGGCGTTGACGGCATATATTACTGAAATGATTAAATATTAACTTATGTAATAAATATCATATTATAATTTAATTATATTTATTATTCATGTGCTTTACAAAGATTATTCAAGTGTTATATTAATATTAAATTATTCATTCGAAACAGGTACTTGAATGTCATCATAATTTCTTACGTATGAAATAAATTATGATGACGTTACTTCCGTCAGAAAAAGCGTTACTTCCGTCAGAAACAAAAATCTGAGTTACTCCCTAGTCGCGCCTAAAGAAGTTTTACTTCAAAAATATCTTTACCATTATGAAAATGTTCTATTGATTAGAAGTGGATATCTCATCAAAATTTGAAAAATTATCATTGAACATTATATACTATATGTACAATATGAATGTAGAAAAGAAAAGATTTGGCAAGACGAATAAATTTTTGCTAGTAGACTTTTAAAAAAACGTATTAGTGATATAAAATAAACAGTCAATAAACCTTACTCCACTTGACACTTTTAATTACACACAATGGCACAATTCAAGTTATCCAACATAATGTAAAACATTTGCATTTGTTTATCACTTTATAACCGGGGACATAAAGTTTTAAGGGTTTCCACCGGTTGTTGCCATGGGATCCTAAAATACTTGGTAGCTCTCTCTTTGGAGATATTTGTATTTTTTTAATCTACGTAAACATTAAGTGTTTTTGAAACAATTGAATTCATTACATACATAATATTAGCATTATATTATCTATTAATAAGATATGTAGTCATTGTTGGCTGAATTAAATAAAAATTAAAGTGGAATTAGAAGCATTCATAATTTTTTCACGCAATGACCTTAAATCATTTTTTTCCGATTTTTTCATATTTTTGATGCGCATCAGATGATAGAAGAAAGCGTTGTTATGTTTAATCAGCAAATTGAAGTAAGCCGCGCGGTACTTTATTTAGTTTTTATTTATCGCTTTGTTTTTGAAATAATTTATTCTAAAGTAGAATTATTGCACCTACCACGATTTCTCCTCACGCCCCGGGTTGATTGGTAGAGAATGCCAATAGGTATTAAGACCGCCCTTTGTAACCCCTTTGTTTTCAATAAAGGATAAATAAATAAAAATAAAATGAAATAAAATAAATAATGTATTTTATGGTAACATATTATTTTGCAGTATATAATGTACTTTAAAGTTAAAAATCTCAAAAAGTGTAAGTATAGAGTCAAAAGTATAATTTGTAAAACAAGTTAAATAACATACATGTCCACGGGCATGGTCCACCACGCAACCTTGGCGTACTTCACATATCTTCGAAATATTTTTTTTGTAATTATTTCGAATGCCATTATTGCAAACTCGGAGAGCACGGCGAAGGCGCAAATTGTCAACAGTAAACACCTTGTAATTTAATTAATTAAATATTTTTTTTATTGGAATACCGATCGCTGAATACTTAATTTTCCTCACGTTGTTTTCTTTCACTGCTGAGCACGTGATAAGCCAGCACTTAAAATAAGCAATTTCATTGGTGCCGGCACCGGGGATCAAACTCAGGTTGCTATAATATACTCGATATTGAATTAAAGACACTGTCCCGATACTGAGCTATCACTGAGCTATTTCTTAAATTTAATGCTGAATTTTATTAATAAGGCAACAAATAAAATCTTTCTAAAATCTATAAATTCTTCCTTACTCTTTACACTTATACAACCTCAACGTCTATGATTAATACGTGCATTTTTCATAGTTCATTAGTATCATAAAAAGTCATGCTCATTAATAGAATGTGCCCACTACAAATAAATACAAACTATAATCTAAGTTGAAATTATTAGAATTAATTTTATCAACGTAAAGTACTGAAATTTAAAACATATTCAATAATATATTGCTGCATAGGTATCGTTAATTATAAAGGGACTTGCAGTAATTCCCTTATCGCTAAACAAGGAAACGTTGCCAATAAAGACGTTTTAAAAGACGCAAACCCGCTGTTTTGCTAGTGTTGGACTAACACTTTTGTGTAGTCCAATGTAAGATGAAGACGCCACAATATGCGTTGGTTGTACTGTCCGTCATATATCGCAGTGGCAACGTTCTTTGTCAGGAGACATCGGTCGCCAATCAATTCTTGCCCGAGAACGGAAGATTGAATTTCATCCAACTCGCCGCTAAATACGGCTATCCCGCCGAAGAGTACAACATTACAACCGAAGATGGCTACATCCTGCCTATATTTCGCATACCGGGGAAAAGAGAAGGGCGGCCGCTGCTCTTCATGCACGGAATTTTTGATTCTTCTGATGCCTGGATTGAAAGAGGCAATTCCTCGTCTGCCGTGACCTTCGCCGCGTTGGGCTACGATTTATGGTTCCCTAACGTTAGGGGGAATCGCTACTCGCGGCAGCACGTCCGTCTCAATCCCGACCTGGACCCAGAGTTTTGGAACTACTCCATCCACGAGCACGGATACTACGATCTTGCTGCAGCTGTCGATTTGGTCCTCAACAAGACTGGAACGGGAAACTTGTCAGCCGTCGCCTACTCGCAGGGGACCACGATATTCTACATACTATTGTCAACCAGGCCGGAGTACAATTCAAAGATCCAATTAATGATCGCACTTGCGCCCGTGTGCTTTTTGCAGAACACTCGTCCGCCACTATCGACTTTGATAACTCTGTCACCGTTCATTTATCGAACGTCTGTAGCTCTGGGAATTAACGAGATTTTCGGCGATAAGTCAACGGCGATCACAATTTCGAAGTTGTTTTGCCCCTTGCCGATAATTGGCTACTTTGTCTGTGTGCAGGGCCTACTTTTTCCGTTAACGGGCAGCGATATGGAGGAGTTGGAAGCTTCGTTCATACGAACTGCCATTGGTCATTTCCCAACGGGGACGTCCGCGAAGAATCTGTATCACTACGGTCAGATTGGAATGCGAAAGAAATTTGCACAGTTCGACTACGGTCTCCGCAAAAACCTTTTGTTGTATAAATCTGCGGCACGCGCCGCATTACGATCTGAAGAATGTGAATATCAAAGTGGCCTTGTTCGTTGCGAAAAACGATGCGGTCTCAACGATCCAAGACGTCGCCATTTTGAAGGACCGACTACCGAACGTTGTGCAATACTTCATCAATGAACGCGCCGAATACAATCACGTGGACTACATGTGGGCAAGAAACAACGACAAATTGTTATATCCACAAATACAGAAAACTTTAGATAAGTATGCTTGATATAAACAGATGTATATGTATGTGAAAAAATAATCTAAATCATCCTATTTTATAAAATAAAAATCTCTCTTAGATTAACAATTCATTAATGGGTATCCCATTACAATTAAGCAATTTAATATTTATAAAATCGTTTATATCAAAATATAACCGTTGAACAAATATGATGTTAAACGTAGAAAACTTGTTTTCAGATCTCATCAGCGAATAAATTCTAAATAATTCAATTAGTGTACGTCATCTTTTCATGATGAAATTCCATTGCGATAAGATTTTAGAAGAGTTCATGTATGTTTTAAAATAAAAATTAAATCAACGTGACTGTATTTTTTCCGTGTGATGTGCATCATCATCATCATCATAATCATCTGTGAGACAGTAGCACTTATCCGGTTGACCTGGTCTATTCTCGTAGCAGATAACGTACGCTGTTGTTGCAATGACAAAACAATGCTGCTCAAAAACAGTGGGGCTAAATAATTTCAAGCCCGGTGAACCCTCTGCTCGCTTGGCAATTTTTCACATGAAAAAAAAAGAAAAGAAGAAAAATTCCTGAAAATCATTAGTATCAAAAAATTCGTTTACTAAAAGACACGGTATCACATGATAACATAGAATTATTATTTCTTTAACCTTTTTTAATACAACAGACTAAAGCCTAATTAAGTGACTTGTGTGTGTCTTGTCTTCTTTGTTTGTCAAATAATTGGGTATTGTTTACACCGTTAATATATGTCAGGTTATGTTACTTAGATATATAATTTTGCAATATAAATTGTACAAAGACTAAGTTATACTGAGTTATTTATATACCTGTAAATACGTAATTCACTAATAAAATACTGTACCTACTTATTTCATTTTATCTTGGTAAAGACATAGGAAAATTCTGCTCCTCTATATTCTACCGCTACATGCTGGGCCAAAAGTTTAATGTGGGAAGAACATGATGATGAACACTACGAAGGGTCGGTCGTGCACTGAAGATAATGTGAAAAAAGTCATGATGGCAGATCCAAGTCTGACCGTTAGACTGGCTAAAACTAGAAAATCGTCAGACATCCACAAACAGCCAAGTGTATACAATTTTAAACATTTTGTAAAAGCTACCGTAATGGAAAGGACCAGTTTTAGTCGAAGAAGAATTTATACCGAGGACATTTTTTTTAATGTGAGAAAGTGGTAAAAAATGGATGTTTGAAAATGAATCTTGCAAGTTCCCCTGGCTGCTGCTAATTTTGTAACTAATAAATTTTGTATACATAATTCAAAAAGGAGGTAACAGGGCCGCAGAGTTTCTCACCGGTTCCTCTTCTTTGGGTTTATATACTTTTAATATTCGTTTAAAACAAGCCTATATTGAATAAAAGAATTTTGATTTTGACTTTGTCATTTGACTATCAGGCATGTAGCTGATATCAAAGGTATCTCTAATGGTAGTGTTGAAAGAATAATAGCCAATAAATTATATACCTGCAATGCCTCTACCGCGTTTGATGCCAAGACTGTTAACTTACAAGCAAAAGAAGAAACGAGTCGAGATTTAAAAGTTAACTCTCTAAACTTTCAGACAGATCAGGAGAATTTTAGTTACGTTTGGAGAACCAAACAGCAATCAATGATTGCTTAATCAGTAGTTCTGGCGGGATTAGAACTTAGGTTGATCAAGTATATTGCATTAAAAGCGAGCGTTCGGACACTGAGCTATCACAGCTATCCTATTTACGAAAAATATATACTGTTAAAAATGAATGTTACATTCATTATCATTTTTACTATCACTTTCGTTACTAACAATTTCGTACTTGTTTAAATAAAAACGTTAAATAAGTTAAACAGGCTATTATAAAATAAATCCACTGATACCATATACTTTTATTACTTGTATAAAAAGGCTCATAGCACTTATCATTCAAGTTGGTGTTTATATACCGGAACGGTATGGATAGAGTTTTTAAATGATGTGAAAGTACAGTACTGTCTTATATTCAGGTGAACATGCCTCAATATAAATTAGTTGTGCTGTGTATTATGTTTTGTATTCGCAACCTTCATGGACAGGAGACGTCGTTTGCTAATCAATTCTTGCCAGAAGATGGAAGATTCAATTTCATTGAGCTCTCTCAAAAGTATGGTTATCCCGCCGAAGAGTACAACGTTACCACCGATGATGGCTATATCCTGCGTATATTTCGCATACCGGGGAAAAGGGAAGCGCGGCCGCTGCTCGTCATGCATGGAATTTTAGAATCTTCTGACACCTGGATCATACGTGGAAATTCATCGTTAGCAGTGACTTTCGCCGCGTTGGGCTACGATTTATGGTTCCCCAACGTGAGGGGGAATCGGTATTCGCGGCAGCACGTCCGTCTCAATCCCGACCTCGATCCGGAGTTTTGGGACTATTCGATCCAGGAACATGGATACTACGACCTTTCCGCAGCGATTGATTTGATTCTGAACAAGACTGGTGCCGAAAAACTGTCGGCCATAGCCTACTCGCAGGGAAACACGATATTCTACATACTGACGTCGACGAGACCTGAATACAACTCAAAAATCCACTTGCTGATCGCCCTTGCACCCGTGAGCTATTTGAACAACGTCGGAACGCCACTATCGACTTTGATAAATTTGTCACCTATCATCTATCGAACGTCTTTAACGCTGGGAGTTAACGAGGTTTTCGGGGATAAGTCGACAGTGGACACAATTTTGAAGTTGTTTTGCCCCTTGCCGGTAATCGGCTATGGTGTGTGCATAGAGGGCTTTATTTTTCCGTTAGCGGGCAGAGATGTAGAAGAGTTGGAGGCTTCCTTTATTCCAATTCTCATTGGACATTTCCCAACGGGGACGTCTCTAAAGAATCTGTATCATTTCGGTCAAATCGGACTGCGAAAGAGGTTTGCACAGTTCGACTATGGTATTGGTGAAAACCTTTTGTTGTATAATTCTGAAACACCTCCGCAGTACGATTTAGAGAAAGTGAACATTAAAGTGGCACTGTTCGTTGCGAAAAACGACGCGATCTCAACGATTCCAGATGTCGATATTTTGAAAGACCAACTTCCGGACGTTGTTCAATACTATGTAAATGAACGCGCTGAATACAATCACGCGGACTATCCGTGGGCACGAAATAATGACAAATTACTATATCCACAAATAAAGAAAGTTTTAGATGAGAATCCGTAAGATTAAGCATATCTATGAAATAAAATAAAAAATGTTGAATTACTTCTTATACTAGTGTTAATAAAAAAATATTGTAATTTACGTCTTATGTTAGACAGTAAGGCACAAATCACAACATTGTTTAATTTTGACGGCTAATGTGTGTAAAATCAAGGTTTCATTTAATTAATTTACGATATCTATTATTAGTAGGCTGCATAATTATTTATTATCCCTTGTAAAAATTACTATAATTTAAATTGGTATTCCGAATATAATATCTCTGAAAAAAAAAATATTCTTATTAATTTCTTTATAACCTGTTTAGCTTTTCGGTCGCTGCTTCGCTCGCGTTGAAGCCCTTAAATAAATATCTTTCAACCCTTTACAACACTTTTTTTTAATTAAATAAATTAATAACCTCTGTCCTTTCTCAGACTCTAGTGTCTCTGTGTACAAAATTTCATTTAAATCGGGTCAGTAGTTTTGGAGGGAAAGCGAGACAGACAGACAGAGTTACTTTCGCATTTATAATATTAGTATGGATTATTTACTTGATTGATATCTGACGATGACACACATAGGATTTATCATGTTGTCGAATATTTTCTTTCTTCAAGAGCATTCATCCCTGCCATTTTTTACAAGTAATTCCATTGTAGTAGGAAGAAGATCAGGGACGTCATATACCATAAAAGACATATTGAGATTGCATAAGACTTATGATGCCTCAAATACATACATCTTTATTATCGATAGCTTTTAAGAAATTTATTTCAACACTAGCTGTACCCGCGACTTCGTCCGCGTGAAATTTACAAAAAAAAATTCTTATATTACATCAACTATCTGCCAGTGAAAGTCCCGTCCAAATCGGTCTAGCCATTTCAGAAATTAGCCGGAACGAACAGTTAGACAGACAGACGGACAAAAATTGTAAAAAGAAATATTGTTGTATATGTACCGTGTATCCATATGCATTTAGTAAAAGTTGGTTATTTTAATATTACAAACAGACACTCTAAATTTATTGATCTGTATAGATGGAATTGAAACTAAAAAAAAATTCTTTTTTTTAAATAAGCAGTTAAAACAAAAGTAGCCTAAGTTACTCCCTTTTACATCAGCTATCAGCCAGTGAAAGTACTGGCCAAATCGGTCCAGCTGTTTCAGAGTTTAGCCGGAACAAACAGACAGACAGACAAAAATAGTAAAAAATGTTATTTTGGTATATGTACCGTGTATACATCCATAATATACATTTAGTAAAAGGCGATTATTTTAATATTACAAACAGAAACTCCAATTTTATTTATCTGTATAGATTACTAAATAGTTTGAGATTTTAGACGTCAATATGTGTGAAGAGTGATGTCTGCATTTGTATCGTATTATCTTATCCTTTAAACGAGCAATTCTTGTATACATACATATATATATATATATATATATATATATATATATATATATATATATATATATATATATGTATATATATTATCAAAATCATTTATTCATCGACATAAGAAACTTACATTTCATTTGTCAATAGTCATATTTTTTTTTTAAATCTACCACCGTTTCGTAATGAGGTTCCTCCAGCGGAGAAGAAACAGGCGAAAGAAACTCCGTAGTTATCCTCTTTTTTGTAATTCATTTTTTTTTCTTACCAAAAAATTCAAATATTATACAATAAATATTTTTATTTCTGAAATATATTTATTTCTTTAAACTTCTCTCTCAAAGATGCATTCAAATCTAGATTATAAATAGTTCTTATGGCCCTTTTTTGCAAAATAAAAATTTTTTCTATATCGGCCGCGTGCCCCCCCATAGCAAAATACCATATGACATTATACTATGGAAGTAACTAAAATACACAATTCTAGCCGTTTTTACATCAGTTAGACATCTTATTTACCTTATAGCATACGCTGCAGAACTTAGTCTATTCGCAAGTTTTGATATATGGGGACCCCATTGAAGCTTTGCATCGAGAGTTATTCCAAGAGAGACAGTCGTATCCACAAGGCCTAACTCCCCCCCCATTTATAAGTACATTGGTAGCACCCAAATGTTTAACATTAGGTGTTGAAAATTTCATACACTTAGTTTTATTACCATTTAATAGTAAATTGTTAGTATTAAACCAATAGACTGTTTCTGACATAGCATTATTTACCTCGTCAAGTGTAACAAGCTGTCGATCGATTTTAAAAAGTAATGATGTATATATATATAAAAGTAAAAGTAAAGTAACAGCCTATACATGTCCCACTGCAGGGCAAAGGCCTCCTCTATATAGAGGGTATCAGGGCATAGTCCACCACGCGGCCCCACTGCGGATTGGTGTACTTCACATATTTTCGAAATATATATTTTTTTTGTTATTATTTCGAAAATATGCAGGTTTCCTCACGATGTTTTCCTTTACCGCGGAGCACGTGATAAGTCAGCACTTAAAGTTAAAAACTTCATTGGTGCCGGCACCGGGGATCGAACTCAGGTTGCTCGAGTATATTGAATTAAAGGCGAGCGCCCGGACACTGAGCTATCACGGCTCTGAATATATATATATATTATGATTCTATATAACCAATAGATTATATAGATTCCAATTATATACACACACACACATATATATATATAATTGGAATATCGGAAACGGCTCCAGCGATTGTTATGAAATTTATTATGTGCGTAGATTCGGGGGCGAAAAATCGATATCATTCGAATACGACGGTAAATTTCACCGAAAAAAAATTATAATAGCTCTGTCGGTAATCGGGCGGCCCCGAAACAGTAGGTCGTGGTTCGTGTCATGATCATTTACACGCTTATTTTTTTTACTTTTTTTTAGATTCCATATCATTGCTTTCTTTATTTTTTATCGATTTGTTATTTTGTTTTTTTTCCCCATTTTTTAAAGTTTTTTCTTTTGTGAAAAACACCAGTTCATATTTTCTTATTATTACGTCGGTAAGATCGAAAAATATTATGCATATTTCATTGCTCAGTAATTTTTATCTAAATGTTATTTCCAAAATACACGATTCACAAAAAACAAATCGAGCAACGCTCGGTCCTCCAGATACTTAATAATAATATAACCATTATTCTCAAATACTTAGGAGTCACTTTCGACTCGCGTATGTCATTTACTACGCACATTAATAACGTTCGTAATAGAGCCGCGTTCGTCTCCGGCCGGCTACACAATTTAACTAACGCTAAAAGTAAAATGCCCTTAAGGCACAAATTATTATTATATAAGACATGCGTACGACCTATTATGTCCTACGCATGCATGATCTTCGCCCACACGCACCCTACTCGCTTGTACAAGCTGCAAATAGTACAAAATAAGTTCATCCACCGTGCAACCGGTGCGCAGTGGTATCAACGCAACGTCGATCTGCACAGCGATTGCAGACTCCCGACGATTCGCGAATATTTAAAAGACCTGACCAAACGGTTCTTCGATAGAGCCGAACATCATCCCAACCCTCTGGTGGTAAGCGCAGCAAATTACCAACCCGACTCAAACGCGAACGTCAACAAGCGTCGCCCGCGAAACGTCCTCATCGACCCGGTCGAGGAAGGGGACTTAGATACGCCGGACCCACCGCCAGGGGTCCCGCCGGATAACACTACACCCACAGCTAGTGTAACAACAAACACAATAGTACAAACGCCCTCGCCTCCGAGCACGGCGAGACCAACACAACGCGTACACAAAGTACACCCGCGTTCCAGGGCGGTTCTCACCACCCCCAGCCACCGATTAGCTAAAAACACAGTCGACGGCCATCGGGGTCTCGGTCCGCACCGCAACTTCGATGGCCCTTAGATGACATGTCGTAGTTAAACGCACGCATGGGCACATGCGCGGCCCTACCCCACAGCGGAGGGCCCAAACCCGTGGGTTCTGGCTAGCCCACCGGTTCTGCGTCAGATGAAGCTTTAATAGTCTCGGGACTGAAAGCAAAAACATCAGTTAATATAAGATACCATTATTCTATGTGTGTGTTTGTGTATTCATTTGCCAGACGTATTTACATGAAATGCTACTTTCTAATGTTATTTTGCAGTTGTACCCATTTTTTTTGTTAAAATATATTCATGACTTGAATAAATAGCGCCACATGGATGAAGAGCCGGTTTAGATAGTCTAAACCGGCTGAAAGCTTAATGTTTACAAATGAGTATGTATGTGTGTGTGTATGTTATTGGACGTCGCGTCAGTGGCCTGGGATTGATGAATGCACAAATGAAACCGTTCCAATTAAGTGTGGGGCCAGAGCGTCCCCGCTAATTGGAGCCGATAACAGGGTTTGATGCATTTGTTCGCGTTTTATTTTCACGGGAGATTGGATTGAATTGTTAAATCCGCTGGTCTGCTGTTGTTGTGTTGTTACGGCTTTATTGTGAATTCCGCCGTTCGATGGCGGTGTCAGATCTTGTGGTTCATTGGGTATGATCGGCTTGTTCAAATTTCAAAGCTTTACTCTAATATTTTTTTTTGTTTATTCTATTACCCGCATCTTTTCGAGAAACATCCGAAAAATAATACTGGCTTACATAATACATAATACTGGTTGAGCCCGTAGATAGTAGTAACTGTCTTTTATACTGATATGGCCCAAATTTGTAACCGAATAATATAAATCGACATGAATACATGGCAGACATCATAAGCTCCTTTGATTATGGAATAGTGAATAAGCGTGTAACTACTATCCCACCTGATGTCTAAAGTAATCTTCTATTAAGGCGTATTTTTTCTTGCCTCAAGACACTTGGTCCGTCGATTCACTTCGACCACTATTGGGTAGTGTTGTTCTTCCACTCATTTGATTTAAAAAATAGAAACGATGGGATGTAAAATTTGTGACTGTAATAACTTGTTAAAAAGTGGGAATAATATAGGGTTTTTCAATGAGAATTTTTGACCTTTGACAACGTATAATATCATAAAACTTGGTAAAGCGACAGGCGACTTTGCTAAAAATCACTAT